ACCCAGCTGGCTTTTCAGTTCTGGCTGTTTCAAAGCCACCGGTCAATCACACCTTGGCTCGAGCCTCATTCCTGGGCATCAAGGTGATATTACCTATTCCTTTAGCTACATGGAGAAAGGACTAGCTCACATATGGGAGGGAGAAAGTAAATCCTTTCTTTTTTTAGCTCTTTAGTTGGATGGTCACAGACTGGTTACGGCCTTGCTCTTTCAGGGTTCTGCGTTTCTGAAATGTAATATCTGTTAATATTCAATTATAAAAATGTCTTCCAACAACAAATTATTTGGGGGTTACCTTTTTCTTTTAATTATTCTGTACATTCCAGTATGTGGTGAATGAGAAATGTCTGACCTTATATTCATATTAATGCTGGTATCGTTTTTATAATTCTCAGTGGAACCCACATTTTGCTGAACTTCTGTTTGCTTTTCATTATCAATCCTAGGTCATTATCTGCTGTTTTTTGCATTTTCTTTCCTTTTCCATTATGTACCTTTTTTCCTAAAACTTGTGTCAATCTAATAAATTGACTTTAGAATTTGGGTTAATTACTGCAAGATGCAGGTTACTTCCACAAAATTATATAAGCAACTAACGTGCAATTAACAATTTTGCTTCTGTAATTCTTCCCTCTCTAGAGTTACCCATTTTCAACTGTCTACTGGATTATTCTTGACAGAATACAAATATGCTATACTTTCTGCCTCTTTTAAAATTCCTCCCTTGAGAGCGTAAATGCCTCTCCAGCTGTCATGCCATTTCTCCAAAACTCTTCCAGCAAAACTACTCCAAAGAGTTGTCTAGACTTTGTCACCCCTGTCTCACCTCCCATCTGAACATGAACTCACTTCAGTCCGCCCTTTGTCCCCACCACTCCACTGACACAGTGTCACCAGTAAACTCCATCCTCCCGAAATGCTCCATTCTTAGTCCTTATTTTATGTGGCCCCTTAGAAGCTTTTGATACATTTGATGAGTCCCTTGGTAAAACGCTCTCTTCACTTGCATTCTCTTAAACACTCTTTCCCTCACCTTAATAGTGGATCAAAAGGAAGGAAGGAAAAGAGAACCATAAAAGTGCCTGCCTACTTTTCCATCAAGGCAGTAACAAACCAATCACTTTGCTTGTGATCTGTTTTTTGACCTTCTATGCTTCCTGTTGCTAAATATCTGTAAAACCTAATGAAAATCTCCTGGGAAATCTACCAAAAACTTCCCCAGGCTGAACTGAAATTCCTTTACAAGGTCAAATAATCCCTTTAGGGTCTTGTTTATAAATAACAGGTCTCAGCTTCCGCGGAGAGCCTTCTACCCCTCAGCACTATCACTTCGAAGGGCTAACTGCTACTTTGTCCTGTATCAAGCAGAAAAATGTCTTCCTCTGGAGAACTTCTCTGGCAGCATCCCTCTGATGGCTCTAGTCTACACTGTGTTTACTGTGCCTTCCAGAACATCATGCCATTTTCCTTCATATCACAGATTACATTCAAGACCCAACTGAGATCTGTTGGTGCCCTGGGCTAGCTGACAACTTGCCATTCCTTTAGACCATATTCCATAGATACTGGATAGGCTGGAGTCCTCTCCTCATTAGAATGCTTTTTCACATCCAAGCATACCGTGCGGAAGTTCCAGCCCACCACACTCCCAGGCCCCGAACACCCGCTTCTGAGCATAACAGCAAAAACATTTTTTCCAACCACATATAACACCCTGTATGAAAATACTTTTGTCATATACAACTTTCTCTCTCTGCAGTTATAATTAAACTCTTTGCCCTAGGCACATCCATGGCTGGTCTACATTTTAACCCAACTCTGTCCACAGTTATCAGTTAATTGTACGATTTTTCTGTTTGATGTCAAAATCTCCCAGTAGACTACAAGCACTCAGATAGAAACAGCATCTGTTTTGCTCAACACTATGTCTCTGGTGCCAATAAAATGCCTGATCCATAAGAGATGCTCAGTAAATACCTGAATGGACAAATGACTCAATTCATGGTATTTTAGATACAGATGTATTCATTCACAGTCCCTTGTGCAGTGTGATGTAAGGTAATCTATTTCTCTACCACAGACCAGATATGTTATACCAACTTCAAAGGTAATTAGCTAGTACAATCACCTACATTTATAAGAGTTATTTTTGTATTTTTATTAGTAGTATTTTGAAAAACCAGCTCCCCCATTGTATTTTCTTTTGCTCATCCATACCAGATATACAAGTCCTATTTGAGAATGGAAACAGGGCTCCCTTTATCACCCAGCCATTTCATTGCTGGCCCAGTGCCCAGTGCATATGTGCAAAATACAGACGTGAGGAATCACTGAAATGCCCTTTCCTTTATTCATTCTGTGAGGTAGGCAGACCTCCTCCATTAGAGAATTTTACCATCATCTAATTAATCAATTAAACAATAAAAAAACTTATAAAATGTGTAGCAATATTTGTAGAATGTGGGGATTATAAAAACTTAATATAAACTAATAAACATAGAAAGTATGGGATTTTCCAGACAATTTCTCATCCTAAACACTCATCCCTTATAATTTGTTGTAACAACTTTGAGAAGCATTTCTATACCAACTTCTTGGAAACAGTTTTTCACTTTTAAATTCAATAAGTCTTTTTTCCTCCAACTTTCTGTTTTTATAAGACAGAGAAAAAATTTCTGAACATTATTGCTTCAGGTATTTTTGGGGGGGGGGGATATAATAATGATAAATAACTGCAAACATTTATTGACAGTTGATCAGTGCTAGACATTTACACATAAGCTCTTACTTTATCTTCCCAATAATCTTCAAAGATATATACTTTTATTCCCATTTTATCACTGAAGAAAATAAAGATTAGTGAAATTAAATAACTTTGCCCAGTTATTGCCCAGTCCAAAGCTGGAAGTGACGGAACTAGGATGCTAACCCATACAACCTTGATCCCAAATCTCATGCTGTTAACATCCACATTATAGTTTAGTGTGTTTATGGTTATATAAATGTTTACTCTTGATATGAGGAAACTACTGAATAGAAAACACTGCATGAAACTAACAAATATACTCATGTAGAGAACAAATTACAGCATGAGTCTTACTTAACACAGTTCTTCTGCAAAGATAAATTTTCCAGAAAATTAAATTTTGGCAGTAAACTTTAAATAAAAGTAATCTCTCCCATCAAATAATGGCAAATAAAAGAGACACCTCTTTTGTTTCCTTCATTAGAGCATGGAAATCGTAAAATCAGGTCATGAACAGTGTTAAGATCCTTATCAATCACCTTCACAATAAAAGCAATATTTTTCATAAGTGTTATTGTAAAAAGATTGGGTTCTATGGTGTACACATATATAATGTAACACGCAAGGTTATAATTTTTCTAGTTGTTAACTCCTAATTCTTAAAAAATTTAAAGCACATCTATAAATTATAAAAAAAAAAATACCTAATGTGGCCTTTAGTTATGTTATTATTATTTGAATCAATTAGCTCACTTGGATCAGAAGTATTAGTAATATCAAAGAAGGTTCGACTCAAGAAAAATCTATGTAAAGACTCACTTCTTCCTCTTTTTCTTCTACCTGCTCACAAAGATGGTGGTGGGACTACTTCCTGGCCTTTGCCCATAAAAGCACCAAAAGAAAAAAAAAAAAAAGAAAAAATAGGTTGTCAGGTAAGCAGAGCATCTGGATCTCAAGTTTGCAGTTTAAACCTCTGACTGCTGTAAAGCACAAGATTTTTCAGGTGGTAAAACTGGGAAGATGAAACTTGTCATGTGCTATGAAGAAACTCACTGCAGATAAAATAGTAACTTGCAAAAGATGAATGCACAATTCTGTAATGTGTGTTTGCAAAAATTTCTCCAAGTTCACGACCAAATGTTATTCCTATGCACTGAATCCCACCTTACGTAAGAACCAAAACAACTATGTTTACTAGTATTTTACACGAAGGCAGTGTTTTATGTATTCACCCATCGTATTTTAATTATGGGCCTCGGAAGTAATATGGTATCAAAGCAAAAAGTAATGCAATCTAAGTCTTAATCCATCGTCATTTCTAGGCTCTGAAGACAAAATACACACATATGAGTTGATGATTATAGGCATTTTACATCTCTGTAGAAGGGTGGCTTATTTTTTTAGATTCATAGAAAGGGAAGAAAAATCAACACCATGATATTATTACAATTCCTTCTATTTAAAAACGAAACGAAAAGAACTTAGAAGAAGAAAAATAACTTCATGATCAGTTAACTAGCATATATAGTTAACTTGGTATTATTACATGCAGTCATGTAACAAAGTATCTTTCTGCCTTCTAACCCCCAGAAGGAAATATTAATACTGCATTTTGAATTATTTCTATCATATGGAGGCTTCCTGCTATTTAAAATAAAAACTTAGGCTTGTATGAAGACAAGAACTCAAGCTACATAACACATTTGTAGCCAAACACCTAACTTTAGAATTACTTTAATGGCGACTTAATTTACAAGTTACTCAAAAGTGAATGATCAGGTTCCAACCACTGGAACTTCCTGGAATTTTATATTATTGCCAGACAAGTCAGTTCCAGCCTGAACAACTGAAAGGAGAAACATCCTGACACACTTTGTAAAAATTTCAGTGGTTAACCTCTACGAGGGATTTACACATTTGCATCTCACAAGCAGTTATGCTGACTACAGATTGAACTTTCTATTTGCGCACTTGAAGGTAAAAATATTTTGCAAATTTAGGTAGTTGAATTCTGACAGTAAATGACTTGATATATAGAAATATGGACTAAGTAGTACTGAAGCATATGCCTATATAAATATGAGGTTAGTTTCTACTAAACTGTGCTCTACTCAGCAGTGGATCAGCTGGTTCCTGTGTCGTTCTGCACAGAACTTACTTGGATGTAGTGTGTTTGCCTACGACTTGGGGTCCGCTCACTGAATAAATGAAGAGTTACTGCTGAAATAAATCAAGGCTTGCTTGTGTCTCTTACCTTTGCCATGGCTTCTCCCATCCTCCAAAAGTGGTACGACGATAGTGTTGTTCACATTTCCAGGTGACCGCACAGCTGTGTAGACAACAGGCACCGACTGGACCACCACGGGGATGCGGTGAACGTGACTCAGTTTGTTAGACTGTAAATTCATGGGACTTGAAGGCGGAACGGGATGGATAATGTGCAAAAACTGCTGGCCTCCCACACCAGAGGCAGAGGCAACAAGGGGCCCTGGAGTTAATACCGTTGACGAAGATGATGCTGAAGATACTGATGTTATAACAGTTGGCGATGAGGCTGGACGACTAGAAGACGACGAAGAGGTTGAAGTTGAAGAAGGGGAGGAGGCGGACGCTGTCATGGAAACGGGGGAGGAGGAAACGGCTGTGGGGGATGTCCTGGCTTTGTTGATGGACAAGTCCACTGGCTCAGTTTGTGTCTGGAAGTGATCTACGCATAACGGGTCCTCCGGGGGTTCCCCTTTCACATTATTTAGCAACAGGGGAACAGCTTCCATATCGGGGTAGTTGTGGACGTTTGGAGACTGTGGGGAGAAAAATAGAGGTATGATTGATGACTTGAATGTTTTTTAATTTTTCTCTTATTGCTACAGAACATTAATTCGCTCTCCAAATATCTGAAGAACCGCTCGGACAGTCGTCATAATTAAAGTGGAGAGTACAAAAGCACAACAGAGTAAGACGATTGGGAGGGCGACAGACATCATTGTCAAAATCCAGGGAAATACACTAAAACAGGGCATAAAATTCTCCAACCTCCCACACCCGTTTGCTAAATTACTGAACACAAGCCATTTCTAATAACTGGATTATAACTGAGCTCATAGCAATGAAAAAGTTTTTCTCAAAATAATATACAGAAATACTACAACAGGTATTTTTTAGGAAATAATTTTAGGAAAAGCTTATTCTGTAAATCTTAAGTTGCCTATGCTTGTGCTGTGTAATTTAAGACAATGATAATAATTTTGTCCAAGTTTGTATTCATGCTTTCAAGTTTTAATGAGCAAAATTTAATAATAAATAATAATAAAGAATCCAAGATTCCACCCAGACTAATGGGCTCAGTGTGTTATTACTGAGCATGAATATAATTTAATTTTATACCTATTCACTCATAAATTCAAGAAATAGTTACTAAATGTCTATTTCCAAGGCCTAAAATGGCCCCCAAATTAGCAGGTGTCCGTCTAGCCTTAACAGATAGACTACAGAAGATTATTTTTGGTCATATCTAATTTGACCAGGCTAACGTAGACATTATTGTTCTATTATATGAAGACCAAAACCTTCTTTTTTTTCAGCTTCACTATGGTATGAGAACAACAATGCCTAAAATTATATTAATTTGGTTCATTTCATTCTTTGTTTAATAAAAGATTTTGGTTTGCTAGTCCCCTCAAAGCTTGAGCATACACTTAAAGGAACAAAACATGCTTCTTCAAGTCTTTCCTTATAGAATATAAATTATAGCTCCATTCAGGAAATACAATAGTGCAAGGGCATTTTATTTAGCAACAATGAGAAAAGAAAGAAAATAAGCTGAACAATGGCACCAGATCAATAAACAGGAAAATGGGTTGATGTTTTATTGTTTTTTGTTTTTTGTTTTGCTTCTAAGCTAACATGGTTACTTACCCACCAAAAGAAAAGAATTAGAAAATATCAAAATGAAGCATCCAAATATCTACTGCATAAAATTCTAAATGACAAGATTTCATTTCATGTGCTGAAATTGAGAAGTAAGAATTTAAATATTCTCAGATATTAAGAAACAAAAGAAAAGAAACACCATAAACAGAGCAACTTTTATAAAAAGCTATTAGCATTATCTACTCTTCTAACTAGAACACTATTTCAGTTCGCACACAGTATTATCATTTAATTTCTCTGTAGAACAATGTAGGATGTTTCTTATTAGTATGTCATACCCATATAGAAATTCTTTGTTGAGGCTGCTTTCATAAAATATCCCAGTTGGCTTGTCATTAACATTATAAAATATGTCATTAAGCACAAATTATCAAACATAGTTTGCTTTCAAATATAGCCTTAATTTCTCTCCAAAATTCTAATTTTGGGAACAGCGACTATTTCCATCACGAATTTTTTTCTTCCTAATTACACTTAGACACAAGGTTCTAACATAGGTTTATAAACCAAAGGCTGAGGTGCAATTCATCACTGTAGAAACATTTCATAAAGTAAATGAAAGAGTGCTTTCGTAGACTACGACAATACAGTAGGTAAACATGGAGCTTATCTGTAAATAGATGGTTTCTGAGGCATCAAGCTTCACTGAGATTTGCAAACTGCTTAAGACTTCTGTAGATTATGAACACGAGTCCATACTTTGTAGGTATCTGCTTAATCCCTCACTAAAAAAATTTTTACTCCTTAAGCTGTTTCACAACAACAGAGGAAGAGCACTCCTCTTGTAATTCTGCTGTATATACCAGAAAGCTAGGAAGACCCAATACTAAGAGCCCCTAGGTGCTTTCAAATACTTGAGAACTACATAGCTTTTGCATGAGCTCAAACCAAAATACAGAAAATGCTCATAAAAATTAGGAAGAATCAACCAAACCTTTGGACAACAGACATATCTTATTTGGGAGCGTTAGACATGTTATGCATGAATTTGTAAGTGTAAACATCACAGAGGCACATGCTGGTTCCTATTTCACACGTAGCAGTTGAAATGCAACCAGCATATCCAAAAACAATGCCTCATCAGTCTAAGGAGGACAAAACCCTGATCATACCATTCATCCGTTTACAGTGTTGACATAATATATTCTCATAGCCCATACCAATCACTTCTACTGTGATAATGTGGCCAGTAAACCATCCATAATTCCAGCTTCAAGCTGCACGTACGTACACGTAAGACCAGCAATACTGCATAAATATGTTTCCCAAACAGTTGAGGTATACGCTTCCTCCTCCTTTTGGGAAAAAGAAAAGACCTGAAAGGCTTGATCCTGAAATCATTATTAGAATTCATTTCTTGGCTTTTGGACAGTGGAAAATGGAAACACATTGGTTCCGAGATATGAATCCATAAACGTGTAGCAATGGGAGAGCAGCCAAGAGACAGAAGGAAAGCTGGGGAAACCACGGGAAAACACCAAACAAGCAGCACTTATAGCAGTTAGAAATTAAATAAAAGGACTACACAGATTTGAGAAAGTGAGAAAAGATATGGCTATGTTACCAGGAAACAGCCTCTAAGAGGCAGGGACACTGAAAAGACCAGATATCACAAAGAAAAGTTTTATGCACAATTAGGACAAGAAAATTTTCTAAAAAGGAACAAAGAAAGGATTTCATACTAAAATTCTGCCCCTGGTCACTAACTACTCAATTCTTGATACAACATTGATGGACGACTCACAGCAGCATCCTCTGAGCATTGCTGTTGTTTTGGTGTTTGTTTGTTTGTTTTAAATAAAAGCCCATCAAGATTTTTGCCTGGGAGCAGCGACTTTAGCTGAATTTTTGCTCTTGATGACCCTGGGGTGGAAAAGATGATCAAACACTTAAACTATATTTAATATTATCAACAGAAACAGAATTCCTTCTAAGGATGTGAAGATTGAAGGGCACGCTGCATTTCTGTCAAAGAGAATGAGAGTAATTAATTTCACTTTCCAAGAGATGATATAGTATTTCTTGGAGGGGGTCCACAATAAAGTAATTTTTCAGCCTTTCATACATACCTTAAGAAATAAATGCATAAACACACACAGAAGTCTGACAAGGTAAATGTAACAATATACTTCATTAAAAAAAGGTGTGTGAAAAACATAAAGATAAATATAAACAGGATTATACTGCTGCGTAATAATATTTCTTCAAAAGTCTGAAGGCCAGTTTGATTCAAAATAATCCACTCAATAAAATATAATGCACAATATTCTAGTGAACATATTCCCTTCAGTGGATCTGGGGATTACGTGTGAGCTGTTCTAATGAGATCATCTTTTTCCTGAATAAACGTTTTAAAATGTAACTTCAGCTTTAGGCATTTTGTTGAATAAATGCAAAAACGTAGCTAAAACTTTCTCTGTGTGAGTACTCAGAGTACCTGATGTGTTTCCTACAGTCAGCCATTGCCATCAGCTGAATCTTATTACAGTCCTCAAGTGAATATGGGTTTTTAAGGCTTGTCATGTATTTTGATCACCCGGCAATCTTAAAAGGAGAAAAAATATATATGAACACCACCTCATCTTTGGAAAGCCCTCCAGAGACTCTTACGTTTGGTTGAGGACCACTTGGGTAATATTCTGCTAAATGTTATCCAAGCTTTATAAGCTGTTTCATCTTTAATGGCATCAGGGATTGTCAGAGAACTAACATAATATTTATGCATATACACACGTGCACACACAAACACACACACAAAAAGGGTGTGCCTAACTATCTATCCATCCTTCTATCTCTCCATTCATCTATTCATCCAGCCAGCCAGGGAGCCAGCAGGTCAGCAAGCAGCATTTAAAGCATAAAAAGATTACGTTTAATTTTATCTTTCCAACTTTATAGAAGTTTTTTGAGAAATCATTTCATGGCAGCGTTTAGAAGATTGTAGAGTGACTTGCCTACTGTTACAAAGCTCATGGCTTCACAGTTATAAGAATCCACGCTTTATAGCCTGTTATGTGGTTATTAGAGACAGAAAATTTGATTTGGACACAAAAGACTTGAATTCATGACCTGCCCTGTTACTTATTAGCTGTACAGTCATGGTATCATCATGAAAATTCTCTAGGTCTACGTTTATCCACCTATAAAAGAGTAATATTAATTCCAAACTCACACAACTGCTGTAAAGATTGAATTTAGGACATTGAGTGCTTTTAAGTAATACTGAGAATTGTGAGACAGAAGTAAATGAGATTCCCCTTTTAGAACTAAAATTCCAAACAGAACCTGATCTATTACTATAGCTCCATGAACTCAGCATAAGATATATTCTGAGGCAGGATGGCATAATACAGCCACTGCAGAGGGGCAGTGTTTGCTAAACAACCAAACAGATATATGTTACAAAAGTAAGCTGAACATGTAGAAATATTGCAAGCATTTTCAGGTTCCACATAAAATTTTAAACAAACACATCTTCTCTTAAAATGCACAAGGACAGTCATTTGACATTATTCAAATTTTTTTTCTCTATTTATTTTTTAGCTTAATTAGATTGGCCCACAGGATGAGCATGTAATAGTTGACGGAATACATTTTGACTGACTGGTCTGATTTGTTAATTCCACTATATAAATATCGTCTATCAATCCATAGTTCAGTTTGTATCCATTATGACAATAATACATAAATATATTAAAATAGTTGTTTTGGGATGTTGGCTATTCTTCAACAGTCTTATCATGAGATGAAATAGTAGAGCTTTATTTATTTCTTGTGTCTCGGTAGAAATTTAGTTTGTGTAAGTTTCACTGACTTGGTGAGTAGTTGAATGTGCACTTTCTACGGGAGGTACTTAAAGAAACTTACTGTG